AATAATCTTTTTTCATTAAGGACTTAAAAAAAAAATCAGTACTTCTGAAGCTACTACATCACTCCAGGTACAGGAAAATATCCCTCTGATTGCGTCCCACTGACCCTCGAGGAAGGGTGGGGGGGAGGGGGCGGGGGGGCGGGGTGAGGGGGGGGGGGGGGCACGCTCATCCCTCAAAACGCGACGGCTGAATGCATCGCGAACGCTCCACTTCCTGGCCGACGCGTCCACAGAATCCCTGCGGATTCTTCTCGGGATCGAGTGCGAAGGATAAGGAAGAGGATCAAGGGAGGAGATGAGGTCGAGGATGAGTGAGAGTATAAAGATAAGGATAAGGATAAGGATAAGGATGAGGACGAGGGCGGGGATATATATGGCGGTTCGGGCGTTCCGTGCGCGTTCCGCATTTCCCCCCGTATTTTAAAGCGGCCTTCGTCTACTTGCTACGTGGCCCGCAAGATGCGTACGGTCTCGGGATGATGCGATGGATGGATTCACGCGTTTCCGCTTACAAGTTCATGCAGTATCTTTTGTGAGCATTTACTGCAACTTAGCGCGTCTGACCCTGAAAAACTGACCCTAATAAATCGAATGACGCTTCATAATGTGATCGGACTAAAATTTTCTCCCGTTGCGCGCCAACGATCCGATCGGAGCGCCTCGTGATTTCGATGCCGTCCGTGAGAGCGACAAAAATATACAGGTATATCGGTGGATCTGTACGATCGATCGAGAAGTTTCCAGAGCAGTCCAGAGAATCCTCGATTCATATTACTCTTCGGTCCCATTCAGTAAATCCCTGTAAATGCGCTCTCGTACTTCCAGCACGATCGATACTTGGGGCTCCCAAAATGCAGATCCCCGTGGCAAAGAGAGATTCGTCGGTGTCCCGTTCGTCTGAGACGTTTCAAAAGCTCTTAAGTGAACTGTCGGTTCGGTCGCCGAAACTCGACGTACAAAGAAGTGTGTCAAAGAAGTAGTTCACAAGTGAGTCTGCACGTCAGTCACAAGGAAAGGCGAATGGAAATGGGGTATTTCACTCCGCTCGGAGACTTTTACCACGCGCCGCTATCGCGGTGCAGCGTAGAAAAAAGATTTGCGAGATAAATATCGTGGAGTCGGACGAAGAGACCAGATGCGACGGAACCCGATGAAAAAGGTTTGCTCTCGTTCCGCGTCGACTTTCGAAGACTCGGCCGAACGCAAACGGAACGACGACCCGAAGATCGTACCCAGTAAATGAGTAAATAACTGACTTGAAGATACTAAAGCCCCCCCACGTTTTATCGTAAATAAGCCGTGGGCACAAGTTGACGGCGAAGTAGGCTTATCAGAGATTACCGAGATTTACCCCTGGAATTCCTACATCCGAGAACACAAAGACGAAAACGTCAAAGTACGGAGAGGGCACCGGAAGCTCACTCGAGCCGTCGATCGAAATCCATGGACAAAGGCACAAGGACAAAGCCCAGCAGAAGAATCTCGGACAAGAAGCTGCTGACCTCCAGCGACCGAAGATCGACGGCCGACGATCACCGATCGCGGCACCGGAGAGGAAGAGCGGCTGTTGTCACTAGACCGGTGTCATCGGATGTCTGCAGCACCGTGGAAGCTCACCGTGAATCAAAAAGGGCTTTTTCCGAGGACTTTCCCTCGTGACCTCATGAAAACGGCGCCGCACGGGCCCAAAAAGAAAAGAGAGAGAGAGAAGCAGCCTAAATGCACGGGAGCATGAAACGATCGAGCACGAGCAGTTAGTGAAAGATTGGGCCGTACAGAAGCAAGCGGGTTGATGATCCGAGCTTAGGGCGATCACCTCCCGAAAGGGAAAGGATGCAAGAAACAGAGCAGATCCATGAAAACACCACGCTCTCTCCTCTTTTTCTCGCTTTTCACCCTCGTCTACCCGCACGAGAAGGGACGGGGGGGGGGGGGGGGGGGGGGGGGGGGGAGGG